ACATGCACACAAAGATGAAATCAAACAAACAAGCCAATAAGCTCAAGAGAGCACACCTAGAGATATCCTATCTAGGTTAACATGCCAAAGAAAGTCTAACAAAACTATCCTATAGGGAACATGCAATGAGATTGAAGTCGTGATCTCAATTTCTAAATTGAGTGACTCATCGATCAACAAGAAACAAAGGAAAGCGATAAAATCCTTTAGGGATCATGCACTGAGAGCGAAGTCGTGATCACAATTCCTAAATTGAGTGACTCATCGATCAACAACCAAGGAAACAAACACAAGCACAACACACATAGAAAAGAAGTGCGGAATGCATGCTACAGGTCTTTAAACAGCGACTTCGAGTGCACGCTCTTTATTTCCTACTTCTCACGATATATATAAAACAGTAAAGAAATGTAGCAAAGTGCGAAAGAGTAGAAAGGTAGTAGCAGCGACTACCAAAAGCGAACAAATCGTCAAGAGCGGACGAAAGCAACAGAGAAGAAAGGAATATACGTCGAGCAATATTCACCGAGAAACAAACTAAGTCAGAAGTGATATCCAATTAAAGTAAAAGTAAATGCATGATTATAAATTCTTGTACAAAGTATCACATAATATCACATGTATCAGGACAACATGTGAATTTCTCAGGATGATGAGAAACAAGGCGTGTCGCATCCGGAGCGGGCATAAACCGCATGCTTCAATCACATAATGTTGTACCCAAAAATTTTCCCTCTCATTTCACTCATAGACATGCCTCTAGAGGTCCTCAATTGCTCAAAGTTGACTAAGGATTGACCAGACAAATCCTCCTCCTAAGGCAATGAGCCCCAAACTAGGGTTTCACTCCTCATCAAGATTGTTTGAGTTACAAGGGTCCTAAGTGGTTTCCATTGCCCTAGTATTTCCTCAAGATCATCCATGTCAAGTATTATTCCTTGCACAAGAAGTCTGCTCAGTCAACTACTCAAATGCCTGAAAATCAACTATGTTAGGGCAAAACTCAACTGTGAGCCACATACAGTTAAACTTCAAGATTTTTGGTCAACATCAACATTTTTAGGTGATATCCATCATTTGATCAAGGGTTGATCATGATTCCTCAAGTAATGCTGCTAATTCATCAAAACTCAAAAGTTGCTAAATTAGGGTTTCTATAGAAAAAGTCAAACAAACTTTGACCAGGCATAACTTTCTCATACTTTATCAGAAATTGCTCATCCAAGGCTCATTTTGAATAGAATTAAATTCCCTATAATTCATCTTCATCCCTCAAGTTCAAAAAATGCACTCATGAAAAGATATAAATTCAAACATTATAGGTCCTTTTCAAAAGTCAACAAAAACACCTTTCGGGTCAAAGCTCCTATCATGAACATGGAAGATCCAATGTAGATGAAACCAAAAGTTTTGTTTAGAGGACATCCTAAGATTTCTAAAAAGTCCAAGAACACCCTCTTAGGGTCAAAATTGAGAGAGATACGCATTGTCAAAGTTGGTCATTTTTGGGAATATGCATAAAGTCAACATTGATCAAAATTGATTTTTTTTCCCAAAGGGGCCCATGTTTTCTGGTTTGAAACTTGTTTCTAAGAGGACCCACGACCCTTGAGCTTATTCACTTATTATTTTATTATTTTTATTATTTTGATTTTTTGTTCATTTAAATCAAAATAGATCAATTTAAATAATGGAATAATGAAATAAAATCCGAGATTTGATTTTATGAGCATATTATGAGTCAATGAGCAGCTGGAAACTCAAGATTTTCGTGCAAGGAATGATTGGAACAAATATAGCATAATTTGGCCAAATTTAGAAATCAAGAATACATGAAACAAATCAAATCTTTTTTTCACAAATGTTCAAAGATTGTGTCCAGTTTTGTTGACCTAATTCACTCTACTATATATCCATAACGTTCCCAGATCCAAGAAAAGAGGTTTTGGCCGCATAGAACACTGATAAGAAATTCCAATTTTTGACCAAAAAAGTGGCATTCGGTTTGGCATTTGCAGGGAGATTCAAGGCATCCTAAAGCTTTCAATCAACTCCTGGGCACGTTTGGAAGCCGTTTGGACCATCACCATGCATCAAAGCACCCAGGAACGCTCCATAACGGTATCACGGTTTATCTTCCATTCTTGAATTTGATTTTGAATATTTACGCGTTATAAATGATTTCTAGACATCCATTCATGTTTGTATTATCATTTAGAAGTTGTTTGTATAGTTAATTATGAGTTTTGATGCTTGTATGGACATATGCCATTGTTAGGGTTTAGATCCTCCTTTTGGGGCTTTTCATTTCAAGTAAAATCAAGGCCAAAGATGGATACCACTGCATTCCAGAGATCAAACCCAATTGATCTGTGTAATTAGATTTGGTTTATATTGTCTGCATATGATTTTTGAGATGCACAGGTTTATAGCCATGGACACGACCGTAGGTAAAAGTCCAGTACCTAAAATAACGTTCATGTGTAGAAGATGAATATGTATCAATACCTGAGTGGGTGGTTTGAATCTCGCGCGTTTTCCTTATCAGATTGACTCATTGTTAAATATATTATTTGTTGTTTGTTTGTATCAATGAATAGCAAACTGGCTCAGTGGCAAAGGGAAAGGGTTTCCAGATGCGGGTGTTTGGGAGGTCAGGGGTTCAACCCCTGCCTCATGCATATTATTTTTCTCACAATTCCTTTGCGGATCCAGTAATGCCATTCCAAACGCGCTCACGGTGCACCTCAACATCTCCTGCCTTGGATCATCCAGTGATCAGATCTAAACATCCAGCAAAAGCAGCGCATGATGGACCTCTAGAGGGGATCCTCACTGGATCACACGCCAGCCTTGGGCCAGCTATTCTGGGCCTGAAAATTCCAATTCACACCTCTCAGATTACTATTTCACCAGGCCAAATTTAATTCTTTTTTTAAAATTTCTTTTATTTGTTTTAATTATTTGTTTTAATTATTTTTACAAAATTCATTTTTTTTTAATTAAATAAAAAAAATCACAAAAGTCACAAAAATTAGAATTAGTTTTTTTTATATAAAAAAATTTAATTGCATTAATTAATTAGATTAATTAGGATAACTTAAATTCTTTTTCATAATTAAAATTAATTAGAAATTAGGTTGATTTGCAAAATTAATTATTTTCTCTCAAAAATCCAAAAAAAATACTTTTCTCTATTTACTAATTAAATATCTTTGAATTTAATTTTAGTTCCGTATTTAATTTTGTCGTGCGCATTTATTTCATTATTTTTCTAATTAATGTAATTGCCCCGAGTTTGTAATAGTTTAACTTATGTTTACTATTTGCCTTTACTATTTTACTCCAGTTTTTGATTATGTAATCCCCCTCCCCAAAGCCTTGTAATAGCTAGGTTTAAATTTCTCGCACTTTTCCTTTCCGTCACTATAAACTGTTAGATGGTTGATAATAGGGTTGTATGCGAAAGATAAATTCATAATTTAAAACGGTAGAGAATCCTAACTGTGCAAAGATAAATAACTAAAAATCAAACACTTGCACATGCTCACTCCTAGGGTTTTCCCCACTTCGGTTGCCTTCGGTAAACGGTCATGAAGTATAGGGAGTCTTAGTGGTTGTCCTCTAGTCCCAAAATATAAAAAATGACCCATTCGAATGTTGACTCGGAAAGATTTTTAGGACTCTAGGGTAATTACTAAGGTTTCTAAACCATTGCTTTAGTGATCGTAATTGTCCCTTTCATCCATTTCGATTGTCCCTTAAACTCCAACGATGAAGCTACCTACTCCTTAATAGTAGGATAACACTGTCTAAAAGGAAATAAGAAAAAGAACAAAGTTTTTTCGAGTAGGTAGAAACTTTTAGGTACTTTCTCAAAACAACTTTTTGCACCTACACAAAAATATTTCAAAAACAACTTTCAAAGACATTCTCCTTGTCAACACTCTTGAGGATTGATACAAAAGTTATCACAAAGCTAATCGCCGCACTAAGGCATTTTCAAAACAATTTTCAAAACACACAAAGCACAAACAATTTTCAAAACATGAGTAAGTACCTAAGAGCCCGTAGAAAACTACGGATGGAAAGGATGGTAACACCTTCCCTTTCTATAATCTACCCCCCTTACTCAGAAAACTCTCGAAAGGTCTTTTTTCTATTTTTTTCACCCTTTCCTTTGTTGGATAAAAGAAAAGTCGGTGGCGACTCTTGCTTACCGCAACATTTACGAACAAAAAACGCAAATCAGTATAACAGTCGGTTCTCCCACCGTATCACACATAACAACTTGTTATATTACATAATAAAAAAAACAAAAAAAATAAACCTCGCCCAATAAAAAAACGCATCAAAAATGGAAAAGCGATATGAAAATACTGATAAAAACTTATAAAGAGAAAGTATTTATTATTATTAATTTCATTTTTTGTGTAGGGAGAATTTTTTAAAAAAACTAGTGAATTAATTCCTAAAAATTAAAATCTATTATTATTTTTTTTATCGCTTTTATTATACCATAGAAAAAAAATCTAAATAAAAACAATAGTTCGGGGGGTAAAAAAATGGAGTCAGGGGTGTAGGAATCTGGGAGCTAGGCCCAGCTAGAGTGAACCCAAGAACTGTTCTTTTGTTGTATAACACAAGTTTCAAACAAACCTAAAAAAAAAGGTCCAAAGTATAATGTTGGCCGGCTCGGTAAGAAAGGGGGTATGTTGTTCAATATTCTACCCAACCAAAAGATTATCTTTACCAACTTTATTATTAGCATGCCACGTTTCTTTTGTGTCTTCCTTGTTCTGTTAACTAGGCATTGTAAGGCATCATAACACAAGAAATTCAATTTTCCTCCAATCATAATTCATCTCTCAATATGGGTAAATATTTGGAATGAAACTAATAATAATATAATGATAAAGCAAACTTTGATTGGTTAACAGAGTTTATGCATGAGCCAACAAAATTGAGATACACCTAGGGTCCGGTTTACACCTTTCTCCATGAGTAATTACAGACGGCGGTCCGACCATTTCTTCGGCGAACATCTCGTCGGAAAGTATCAAACCGCAACTAAAATTTCGGATTCTGGTACCGTTCAAATCGTCTTGGTGAGTAGATCACAAAAATGGCCTTCAAATCCATTCATTCAAACAAAGTCATCACGTAAATCGCGCATACATTCTAGATCTGAAAAGTAAATCGGACGCAACATATATGTCCACAGAAAACACTTGAGCCTACTCTTGGTGGTTCTAGCAAGTTGAGATGAGAGTTTAAGAAAACTTACCGATTCGAAATTTGCAAGATCTGAAAGAAAAATTTACAGCTCTATGCCTGTAATTTTAACGATGACAACTAATAGCTCTGGAATCCTTGAATCTTGATGTGTTCTTCGGTTTATTTGCCGTAAATCAAAGAAGAAGACGGAAACGCCGAAGCCACTACGATGCACTTCAGTTTCCTGTTACGCCATCGTGAGAAAGAAGAGAGGTTTCTGCTTCCGTTGCTGTGATTACCGTCATGGAAAGAGAGCGGGAGAGTGAGGTTGTTGAAGATTATGGAAAGTGAAAGAGAGAGAGCGAGAGAGTGAGGTTGTTGAAGATAATGGAAAGTGAAAGAGAGAGAGCGAGAGTGAGTTCTGCAACCGTTTTCTGTTATACGAGAAAGAGAGAGGAATTTGGTTATCGTTGAAATGAGAGAGAAGGCGAACTTGTTATGGTGAGAGAGAGAGTATGAATCTGTTATGTATGAAGAGTGGAGAAGTTGTTATGGCGAGAGAGAATATGAATCTGTTATGTATGGAGAGTGGCAAAGTTGTTATGAGAGTGAGATTCAAGTTCTATTATGGCCATGTTATCGTGAATGAGGGATAGAAAACGAATTTGTTATAAAAAAAAAAGCAAAGAGAGAAAATGAAGTTGTTATTATCAGAGAGAGAGAGAGATTTGGTTACGTATGGCCAATGAGAGTGAGGATTCTATCCATGCATGCCGCATGAATGACACCTGGACATGTAGTAATAAACATATTACTCCATGCATGATATAATACACTAGCTTTTCCTCATAGATTCTATTTAATACACATGGCCACGTAACCTCCTTTGCACTCGTATATCTTGCACTATAACACTCCTCGCGGCGCAATCTTAGCATCACGACGATTATCCGTCAATGCTCTATCCTCCACTTTATGACTCAATAACTTGAAATATAGCATTCTTCAGGATGAGATCTCAACATTAAAGTTGAAGAGTGAATTCCTCTAAACAACTTTCATGTTAGAAGTTTCTTGAAATAACGCTCGAAACATACTCAAAAATGATCGCGAAGTCTTGACATCAAAACTGTCCGCAGTGGCTGAAAACTCATAGTGCAGAAATCAATTCCATCATCATGATTTCAAAACCTCGTAACTTTCCCAATAACAACTCAAATGCCACAAATTTGATACCATCGGAAAAAGTGAGAATGATAGAACAAGTTTATAGTTCGCCTCCCATCTGGACACGTCCTTAATTATAGAGAAAAATGTCATGAATATACGCCTTGCAACTGCTCGAATAAATGATAGGCTTGACAGGGCAAGTTCTATGTGTGACACCATGCATCTTGTCTGCTTCAACCTTCCTACTTTGAGCTTCGATATCTCTCTCCACAATGCATAAAATGACATGAAGTTTAAACCCAAAGCAAAGAGTACGCAACACATTCCATCTTTCGTGTTAGACATTTTTCGAAACGAGAATTAAATCCACGATAAAAAACATCTTAAGCGTGCGCACGCCACGCCACCTGCTCGATAAAGTGCTAGCCAAGCAAGGCAAGTCTTGGCAGCATTTTGCCTATAAATACTTCAAAATGTAAGCATCATAACTTTCTCTACAAGTCATCAAATGGTACAATTCTTGAATCAAAATCAGAGAGGAGACTCTGATCTTCAACATTCATGTTCATAGATTTTTCATTTGAGTCTAAACGGGACCTTAAAAATAGTCATGAAGTTTGCCACATTTTGGAAAATCTTTTGAAAATTAATAAGTGTCCACATTATTTAAAATGAAAGAAACTTCAAATTCGGCCGATTCTTTCGATTTTTCTCAACAGCTCAACAAACTTTCTCATATTTGGAATTTTATCAATAATCTTGACCAAAAATCTCGTTTAGTCAACCTTTGAATTTTGTTGGCTTTTACTCATACACACTTAAATCTCTTCTTTTTCAATCGACCCTGATTCTTCTGATAAAAATATGGAGATCAGTAGACAACATGCAAATACTTTTAATGCAGATAGAAAACCATGAGACCATCTTAAGCTTTAAAAAATCAGTTAAATCATGTCATCGATTAAGAACACTAATTGCATTACAAAGATAGGAGATGTCGACCAATAACTCTAAACACTAATCCAACTGGAATATCTTGAAGAACTCTTGTACCCATATACCTCGTGACTTGAGATGATGTTTAGGATGAAAAGACTTCATATACGTGACCTTTGAAGACATATATTCTTCTCTTAGGCAGTATTCACTTATCCAGCTAAATCCTTGATCACATGTCACCGAATTAACGCAATGCAAATGATGAATATGATGGTGAATCATAAGCCATTTTTCTTACAAGTAAGAGGGCAAATTTTGGGGTACAACAGCTTCCCCTATTCAATCTTCTTTAACCAGGGGTGATATTGGCGCCAACCTTTCGAATGAACACGGTAAAAAAGGATTGAATACTTAAGGGACCCGGAGCACTCGGGAGCCAGCCGAGCGAAGATGAACCTAAGATTGAAAGGCAACAGGCAAAAGTGAATTCCGGAGAAGAGAGAACGTCGGGAGAAGACGAACCTCAACCAACAAAAAGTGACACCAGGCGAAGATGAACCTAAGATGGGAAGACACCGAGCGAAGGTGAACTTAGCAGAGAAAATAGAACGTCGGGCAAAGATGAAACTTAACCAACAAAGGGACACCGAGCGAAGGTGGACCTAAGACAGAAAGACACCGGGCGGAGGTGAACTTATCAGAGAAAAGAGAACATCAGGTGAAGACGAACCTTAACCAACAAAGGGACACCGGGCGAAGGTGGACCTAAGAAGGAAAGACACCGGGAGAAGGTGAACTTACCAGAGAAAAGAGAACGTCAGGCGAAGACGAACCTTAACCAACAAAGGGACATTGGGCGAAGGTGTACCTAAGACAGAAAGACACCGGGCGAAGGTGAACTTACTGGAGAAAAGAGAACGTCGGGCGAAGACGAACCTTAACCAACAAAGGGACACCAGGCGAAGGTGGACCTAAGACAGAAAAACATTGGGCGAAGGTGAACTTACCGTAGAAAAGAGAACGTCGAGCGAAGACGAACCTTAACCAACAAAGGGACACCTGGCAAAGGTGGACCTAAGACAAAAAGACATCGGGCAAAGGTGAACTTACCGGAGAAAAGAGAACGTCGAGAGAAGACGAACTTTAACAAACAAAGGGACATCAGGCGAAGGTGGACCTAAGAAGGAAAGACACCGGGCAAAGGTGAACTTACCGGAGAAAAGAGAATGTCGGGCGAAGGTGAACCTTAACCAACAAAGGGACACCGGGCGAAGGTGGACCTAAGACAGAAAGACACAGGGCGAAGGTGAACTTACCGGAGAAAAGAGAACGTCGGGCGAAGACGAACCTTAAGATTATAAAAGAGAGACCAATTGTAAGGACCCTAAACAAGGATTTCCAACACATGTCGGACTTTAGTAGTTGCAAATACGCAAGAACTTCAAAATTCCTCAGACTAAAGATGGGGTGTAATTCTTCAAGAGTGGAAATTATCTGAATTACCATACACCAAGTATGGATACTCAAATACCCGAGGAATAAGAAAGGCTATACACCGACTCTAACCCGCACTCCAACGGTCAAAGCAAATACAGGTGAAATAACCAAAAGCTTACAAGGGCAATAGAAAATAACGACTTACTGGGGGAATGGAAGATACCAAAGACCCGACTAGTGGCATACCACGACAAACTCCACAGGAGAAACGTAATAGTATCAACCTAGCCCTGCGGCAGAAATAATTCAAATCTGAGCACATAGCAATCAGGTTACCACAAGTGAACATAATTGACTTATACTTATGCATGTTTGAATTTTTTAGTGTAATGCTCCATACAACGGAAATGCTACGCATTTTGGTAGATGAAATGTAATGATGCATGTTTAGCAATGCATTGGTGAAAAACGTCAATAATCGGCTGTTGAGAAGACAATGAACTTCTGAACGATTATTCTTGCACGTCTAATCTTCAGTAGAGAAAAGACAATCTGAACTTGAATGGGGAACCAAGATTCAGAACCAACAACCTATAAAGATAGATATCACTGAGGAAGTAACTTCCTGAAGATAAATACTGCAAAAATAAATTGCAGTTCAGAGAACATCTTGAATTCTGATCAAACTCCCAACTTCCTAGGGAACAAATTCTTTATCTTTTATTAGAAAGAGGAGAGCTTCGCTGAGGATGGAAACTTCTGGATGAAGATAACTTCTATTGGGTGGTATAGAAATTCTTAAATAAAAGGAATTCTACTCAGACCACACTGGGGATAACACCACCAGGGGGTAAAATATCTTCACTTGGGGAATAATAGATAAGTTACTCTGGAAAGTCCTCGAAATTCAGCTTCGACTGGGGACAAAGACTACCTCATACACTAGGGGGCCAAAGTCTTCAGATGATAGCATCAATAATATCCTGTTGCACTGAGTGTAGCCATCTCTGCAAGATCCAAGCCGACAAGGAATTTTGTACTGGGGAGCAGAAATCATTTCATTGCGGATGATGGTCGTCCTCATGAGGATAAAAAACTAGAATCTCCCATAGGAAAACATGAGTCTCTTTAATAAATCTGAGATAGGAAAACCACATTGAAGAAAGAGGGAGCGCATCCCTCATTGAGTAGGAGAATACATACTTCATTAGGAAGATGAGTGCAAACCTCATTGGGGAAGTTGTAGAATGTCGACTTCAAGGGAAGTATACCAAAAATCTATTAATGGTGAATAAAATGATTCTTCCGAGAAAACCTAGAAAGAAACAGGCTGCACCGAGAAAGATTGATACTCGGGCGAAAGTACACCTTTTCTAGGGAGAATACTGCAAAAATAAATTGCAGTTCAAAGGAAGTTTTGAAATCCGATCCAACT